AAAAAAAAAAATATATATATATATATATATATAAATTTTATTTAAATATTAATTAAAAAGCAGAACACATATATAATTTTTATATAAAAAAATTAATTTGTCCCCACCATGTCGTGTCCTACCTTTTTTTTCAAAATTGAGGTGTCCCCATGTCTGTGTCGTGTCGTATCCGTGACTATACTTCTTAGCTTATAATTAATTCTTGAGATTGGTTTTTAACTTGAATGGGGTGTTGTTCATTTAACTTATTTCATAACAACCTTCAGTTACTAGATATTTTTAAAATATTACTTGAAAAAAAGTATTACTTTTTTATTTCTCTGATTTTTGACTATCATGCAGTTTCCTACAAAAGTCCTTGTTTATGAATATGCTTTAAGTGCTGGGAAACATGATTATAACAATAAAGTTGTAACTATAATACTGATGCTATAAACTTGCTGGTGCAGCTTGCGAACATCATGGGTCGCTTCAGTTGGCTCACTTGTCCAAGAAAGGTGATTCTTTTGTAGTTTTCTTGCCCTAATTTTTGGTTTCAAGTATAATCAATCGTCCATGCCTGCTTACCTAGGATACAAAATGCAGGATCTATCGACTGGTTGGCTTCACTGTGATCCAGGTCCCATGTTCACACCAGAATATTTTACTTTACCAGAATGGGTTCCTACATGGGTGAGTACAGTGGCAAACTTGAATCTGATTCTTGTAATAATTTTTTTTTTGTTTAGGTAATTAATGTGCTTGTTTTTTATTTTTGATTGACCTGTGAGTTTTTAAAATCTACTTTACCCACATTTGTTGAGGTGGGATTTGGAGTGAGAGAAATATAGAATCTTTAGAGGGATTGATCGACCTTAGAACGAGGTTTGGTCCCTTGTTAAATTTAAGGGCTTTTGTATTATCTCTTAAGTTTGATTGTGTTTGAGATTTGGTCCCTTGTTAAATTTAAGGGCTTTTGTTTTATCTCTTAAGTTTGATTGTGTTTGCTTGATCCCCTTCCTTTAGTTTGTCTCTTTTTGGATTTGGGCTATTTTTTGTATGTCCTTGTATTCTTTCATTTTTTCTCATTGAAAGCATGGTTTATCATTAAGAGTAACATTTGTTGATTTGGGAAAAACAGTCCTATTTATCCTTTTCACTGGTAATTATCATTTGGCAATCTAAGAACCCTTTGTACAGATTTTATTGGCAAAAGGTTTAATTCCAATGTTTTACCACAATGACATTTAATCTTAGAAGATCTATCTTTTGGAATTTCTATTTATAGAAAATGAGTTGAGCGATTACTCCATTGTTCAAACTGGCATTGTTGCAACTGCCCAATTTTCAGAATTCTTACTTTACCCTCTTCTTCTGCTTCTATCTCTCTTTTTTCTCTTCTTATTTTTTTTATTTGAATAATTGATGAAAGATGTAATACCATGAAAACAGGGATACAACCTAGAAAGCCACAGGCAAGAGGGATCCCTCTGCCGTAGGTTATAAAAATATCCTCCAATCTAAGTTGATAAGAAAGCTGCTGTAGTTTCAAATTTCATTATGGAAGTCCCTGTGAGACAAAATTCATCACTTTATTAGAAATCATCCATGAAAAAAATGTGATTTTAACAATTTTTTTGAGGTGGATATTGTCTTCTTTCTGCGAGAGTCTTTCCTTTTAACATCACACTTTCATCTTATTTAAGTGCACATATTTGAACCTTCAAGTTTGTAACCTAACCTTGACCGAGAAGATATTAACTATATTATGTGGGCACACCACTTTTATGATAATCTCTGTCTAGCTTCGTTCATGGTGGGATCTGGTTATAGCACATATATTTTGTACGTGCAAATAGGCCATGTTCTTTTTCCATTCTTACCTTGCTGGATTACATCAGATTAATTTAGCCTGTGTCATATCTTTGTCGGAAGCCTGAAAGATCCAGCAGATGGATTTGTTTGAGGCGGTAAACAGACACGTTTTATTGCGTTTTGCCGGAGTGGTCTGTATTCTATGATCTGCAAGCTTGGCTGTATACAGTTCTTGATGTTACAATTAGTTATGACTAGTCAATTTCTGTTCATATTTTTACTTGGATCATTCTTTTGCAGTTCCCATGGAAGGATGTCACCATTTTGCCAGTTCAGTGGCATGCTATATGTCTTGGTTTATTTGCGTCAATAATAGCTCCTTTTGGTGGCTTCTTTGCCAGTGGCTTTAAAAGAGCTTTTAAAATCAAGGTTCCTCATTTTTCTTATGGCAAAGCCTATTGATTTTGTAGCTACAATAAAATGTGACATTTTCATATCCCTTTGAAGGATTTTGGCGATAGCATTCCAGGACATGGTGGAATCACAGACAGGATGGATTGCCAGGTATAATGAATTAGTTTGGATGGTAAAGAATGTTTTATCCCTATCATGACATATAGGCCGTAAATTAGAGCTTTCCCTCTTAATATAATTGTGACTTGGATGGTTATGCATATTATTGGTGCTTACATCTAATTAACAACGTGTTCTTTGTTAAGAAATCATACTTCCAGAGAAGGACATTTATACCATTGCTCACTTTGTAAAATGAGTGGGAGAAGAAAAGGTCTTTCAATTCTTGAGATACTCACTCATCCAAGGGCTTCGACAATTGGAATTCTTTGTATCCTTTGTGTTCCAACCCAATTTGCGTAAACCATATTTACTAAACAGAATTTTGTGCCAAATAGTATCCTTCTCCTACGAGAATTTCCATGGCCGACCCATTATTTCGATGTTTCCTTTTCTAAGATTTTCCATCCTAAGAATCATCATGGGTTACTCATTGGTTAAAAGGGGCTAGGGTTAATTGAGAGGGAATGAGTTCAAACCCGATGATGACTACCTACCTTAGGAATTAGTAATTACTGTATTTCCCAGCACCAAATGTTGTAGACATATGATCCTCATTCACAAAGTGTCTAACTATAGTTGCATTCCAAATGATTATTTTCTATTATTGGTGACTTTCCTTGGCATTTTGAAGAGAGAAGAAGTAAAAATGAATTATAGAGAAAAATTGATTGGACAAGGAAGAATCTTCCTTCTTTAGAGAGGAGGTTTTTTCCATTTGTTGTTTCCCCCAGATTCATCAACAATGATCTCTTAAGCATTTTGAGGAAGGGTTTTCCTTAGAGGCATTTGTAAGTAGGTCAAAGACCAAGAGCCTACTCCACAAGAAATTAGATGTGCTTCCTATCAAATCTATCCCGATAACAATTGATCCCAGCCACTTTAGATTCAGGAGGTTAAGATTTTAGCATGAAGTCTTCCCATCCACTTGAGTAGGAAGACTTCTACAAGAATTGTGATCAACTGGTAATCCACACCAAACAAAAGATCATTTGCAAATTGCAAGTGATTAAGGTGGATAGTATTGGTTCTATCCAACCTCAAGAACAGCCCTTTCCAACATCCTGTTTAGAGGGTCTCCTGTTATAACAGAGAAAAGATGAAACAGGACCAGATCAACTAGTCCAGTCTCCCAGTAGCTTCAAGCTTACCTCTCAACTCTCATTATGAAAATTAGGATGTTTGTTTCATCCTCCTTTCCATGATCAGGAGGCTGCCTTCTGCATTATATACTTTTGATGTCCCTCACCATCTCACGTCTCTGTTCCGTGCTTTATCTCACTGCCACTGGCTCGCCTTCTTTTGGGTCATCACTCCAACTCTCTATTTGTCTATGTTTTTGTCCCCTAATTTTTGTATCTGATTCTATAGTAAGAACTGATGGACTGGTCAACCTTAGTTCAGTTTAGTTTGGTTCTATCCATTATTGGTTTAGTTTGGTCTAAAACCAAACAGAACCTTTGCACCCCTTATTTTTCTTTTTCATGGTCTATTAACATGAATCTCTTTCTTATCAATGTTCCCCACGGTTAAAATATATGGTTTTTGAAATGCAGATGGTGATGGCCGTATTTTCATACATCTATCATCAATCATTTGTCGTGTCTCAGAGCATCACCGTTGAATCAATTATTGACCAGGTAAGATGACTGTCCTTTTCGTTCACCTTTTCTTGTTAAAAGATAATCTTTTGGGCAAGAATATATGTGCTGATGGTATTCATTTATTCTAGATACTAATGAACCTTACGTTTGAGGAGCAACAACTTCTGTTCACGAAATTTGGGCAAATGTTGCAGGACAGGCTGATTCCACAATAGTAAGATCTGTTGTCCTTCTGTATATGGTGATCTAGGATAAAAGATTTGATGCTGACCTGTATATGGATGTTTTGTTGTAATTTTCTTTAACTCCTATAATTTATCTGCAGCAAGTCTCGGAATTTAGATGATTTTTTCCCATCATACTTTGTATAGTTTTTGTGCATTTTGATATTGTACATGAACTCCCCCGGGAAACCATGTCCTCTTCTTTCTGATTTTTTAGGTTGAATGTAAATACTATTACACTTGCTGAACTGAAAATTTCCTCGCACAATTTCAGCTACTCTTGGTTTTATAATGTGTTTGAGAATGCTGGTACGAGTAACGTTTTCAAATGGAATATTTTTATATTGAATTTTTCGTCTTCTTTTACACCATCCGGAGTATTTTCCCTTCTTTCATGATGTTGGGATTTAGAACTTTCACAGAGAAGTAGAAGAGGTTAGAAGACTCACATGAGAGGAAATGTGAACTCAGCCACTAAAGCCCAAGGAGCCTATTTGATTAATTAGGAAAGGAAATATAGTAGCCTCACCTCCAAAGTGACAGTCTAGTTGGCAAGAGTTTTCGGTAGGATTTTCGGTCTCTTGGTCATACTGACTTAGTGGTTTCAAGTTCGAATCTTCTAGTGAGTTTAATATCAAAAACCCTTTACGTCTCCCGGATTTGGATCTTGAGACGGGTGCGGATCCCCCTGGGTATAAGGGAGCAAAACTCTGACTCTCCGTTATCCAAAAAAAAAGAAGAAAAGAAAAAAGGAAATATAGCAGCCTCTGTACATGTACACGTCACTAAGTAGAAGGGCATATAGGAGACTAAGCTTGGTCATAGATTTCACCTTTGAGTTGAAAATCCTTGGTCTAAGATATCTATGTGTTTGATCTTCTTACTAGACTTACTTTTGATACTGAGCTTCTCGTTGACAACCCTCTCCCAAATAAAATGATGATCAATCTTTGGTTATTTGATGCACAATTTGATTTTCGACTATGCAAGTGGTATTTACATTGTTATATAGCAGAATGGGAGCAGAAGATTGGGAAATATCAAGTTCACGAGGTCAGTCGTTCAGCCGTTTCATTTGCCATCCCTTGGTATTCAAATTCGGTACTAGACCTCAAGACCACCTCTTGTTTTGACGAGGACCAAGAAATTTAATGGTTGCAAATCGAGGTATGGTACTCGCTTGTACTATGTCATCCTGGCAAGAACTAGCTTAATGCACATTAATAAAGCATGTATTATAGAAGCATGCTTTTGAATATCCTCAAATGGAGGGACATCTCTTCTTGCATTTAGAGCAACAAAGAAGACGTTTTAACAAATAGTTTAGCCCTCGAAGAGATACTCAATAAGGTAGTTGACTAATATTAGTTCTATTTCTGCAGCCAAACCATTAGCTATTTTTCAAAATTTAGGTGTATTCTTATAGAGCAATACCTACAAAAACTTTACATTATATACCTCTCTTTCTAAGAGCCTTTGTTCTTGACATTGGTATTGCTTACTCTAAAAATATAATAAAAATTTCAAAATTAGTTATAAAGAGTATATTTAATCGGCAAAAAATATTTTTCATTTCAAAAGGCATATGCTAAACTAGTCTCAATAGTTTAGGATAACTTTTGAGTGTGAAGGGGTATGCAACTTAACATATATACACAGATATATGCATATATGTATGTATGTAAAAATTATGCATATATCAATTAATTAGTACTTTGAGATACACACATATGTGTTAAAAGTTTTTTTTTAATTAATTAGTACTTTTCACTATAAAAATGATGTAAAGAGCTATGAAGAATACATACGTGATTTGTAGGAATTTTTTTTATCGCTTGGGATATGGTTCGATAGTAAATTGACATAGTTTGTAGGTGTGAGATATTATCTTCAGACTATAGTTTTTTTTTTAAGCGGAATTTTATTGTGGGTGTGGGCATGAGGTAATGAGAGCTTTCTAGTTTTTATTTGTTTATTATAATTCACACTTGCCTAATAAACAGATGATTTGGAGTTTGTTAAAAGAAGGAAAGAATTTCCAACATAACTTTGACAATAAAACAATAGATGAAATTCAAAAGTATAAAGTAGGCATGAGTAATATTACTAGAAATAGACTATTCTAGTGGCCATCATGTGTCACTTCAACTCTTTCAATCCTACAAAAAATTTGAGAACACAAGAATAAGGAATGCCAATTTCTTTAGATGGTAGGAATCAAAATTTTAAGTATCTGGATGGAAATGTCGATTTTTGATAGATATTTCTGGAAATATTATAAAAATAAAAATTTTGATTAACAAATAAGTATTTTAACCTTTTTAAATAATTTAAAATGATTAATATTAATATAATGTTTATAATGGTTATATATTTTATATTTTGTCGATTTTTTTTTTGTAATTACTATGGAAATGTCGATTTAGTCCTCATGTTGATGTCGAACCCATGAATAACTAGAAATAACTAATTAGAAGTCAATTATTTATCAACTCTAATAAAATTGACAGCAAAAGAGAATAATTTTTATGTATTTCTCTCTCTTACATACAAAAAAAAATTAATAGAGGTCCGAAAAAAATGAGTGTTGACCGATAAGCATCTAAGTATTGTTTGAGTATTATTATTTAAATTTTACGTCACTGAAAAAGTGTGGCTAAACTCTAAACTCAATCAATGTATATAGTACAAAATCAAGTTCAGATACACAATTTTACAATGGTTTAGACCTTGATTAGAAGTAGGGGTCATCTTTCTCCAACCCTTCAAGATATCCAAAGTCCAACTCAATCTATTCTTTAAAATGCCACTATGGGCTTCCACAAATAGATCAATTTAATTCATTCTAATTTTGATCCAATAAAATCTAACTAAAATTGGTATGGTGATGGGGACTTTTTGAGTACATAAATTTGACTTTTTGACTTAAAAGTACACTTTTTTCATAGATAAATAAATGGTGAGTTTGAGTCTCAAAAAAAAAAAAAAAAATAATAATAATAAAATGGTGAGTTTGAAATGATTTTATGAAAGGGTGAAAAACATTTTTCAATATTACAAAGTACGTTTGGAAGTGCTTTTAGTACGGCATTTTTTTTAACTATTATGTTTGGGAGTAACATAAAAATATTTTTTGATAAAGTTAAAAGCACCCGAAGTGCTTTGTGAGAATGAATTTGAGTGTGTTTGAAGATGACGGTAGAATTAGTGATTTTGAAAAGGAGATTTAAGTATAATTAACTTTCTAAAATCAACATCCAAATGATATCTTAAGGTGTGTTTAGGGATGATGGTAGAATGAGTGATTTTGAAAAAAGAGATTTAAGTATAATTGATACCTTAAAAAATAATTTTAAGTGATTTTATGCTTTCCTAAAATCAAAATTTTAATTTGCCAAACACGATTGCTTCCAAACACACCCTTAAAAATCAATTTAAAGTGATTTAAAACTTTTTTAAAATTAATTTCTTTATTTGACAAACATGATCAATAGAAATGAAAGTGATTTTGATAATGACAAAAATGATTTCGACTCCCAAATGATACACCATTTACAGGGTGCTTTTAGCATACATTATAGTGATTTGTTGCTAAACACGCTTTTTACTAAATTATAGACGAAACACTGGCAAATATACTCCTTTGGTTAAGTAATCAGAAGTGTTCATAAAATTAAAAAAATAAATTTTTGAGTGGTTTTCTTAAAAACATTTAATTAGTGTTTTACTAAAAACTACTTTTCTTAGAGTCATCTCACTATTAATAACCAACTTACTCCATTTCTTTTTTTCGAATCCTACTATCTAAAAAACCTTATTTTAATTCTTTTAAATTTTAACAAAACTTTAGAGCTACTCAAACAATATAGATTATTTATTTCCAATTTTTTTTATCTACAAACTTCAGCCGTCGGATCAAAATTTTCAAAGAAAATCATTACTAAAATCGATGGTCGAGGAGTTACAATTAGCAAGCACGTGCATGGAGTTAATCATAAGAAATTACCAGATTCATTGAACCTGGGCTTGTTAAATAGGTTCATTGAATCTGGACGTCAGAAAATTGGCTAATAATTAGATTGTAATAAAACAACACCCATTTTCCACATCTTGTCGGATGATCTGGCTTGGTTTTGAAACTCGCCCACCAAGAACAACTCTGACGTGGCAGATCATGTGGGCCATACTCACGAAGATATCTTTGAATTGCCACTCTGATGTGGCGACACGGGTCGTGATCTCTCTTCCAAGAAATTATTCGAAGAGGTTGAAACAAAGTGGTTGACAATTATTTCACACATTTCAATTCTATTTCATGGAGTACTCAACAGCTTCCTAAAGTACATTGACTTGTCCCTCAGTCGAAACACTTGGATGTATGAGATAAGTTAAACACTAGATAGATTTTAAATGTCGATGTTGATAGAAGTGTCGAGATCTCAATTTCATGAAAACATGTTGATAGAAATATCAATGAATATTTGATCTGAAAATGCTATAAAAATTAAAAAAAATTCATAACATAATTAACAAATTAGTATTTGACCATATTTCTAAACAAGTTTAAAATTTATTAATATTAATATTATCTAAATACTACTGATATATTTTGTTGATACATTTTTTTGAAAATATTTTGTTAGATATGCATGTTGATTTATCCCTCATGTCGATGTCGACCTCATAACTATATGAAAATATTTACACGTGGATGGAAATTTAAAACCTTGTTTGTTAAAGTATCATATAATTGGCAATCACCTTAAGGCATTAGTAATCTTTTTTATAAGTTAAAACTATTTTTAATCTCCACCCCATAAATCAATAGTGAAGACGTCGGTTCGAGTATATATTCCCATGTCGTGTTTGAATATTTCTATGACTTGACCATTTTGGATGTTGTGTTCGTTAGAGTTCATCTTAATGCAATTGAAAAGTTAAGGTCAAAATTGATACATAGAACTAAATATAAGGGTAAAAATTAAAAATTTCTCAAATTTTTCTGAGGATTAAAATGAAACATTTAAAATTTAATAGACTAAAATTTAACATTTAAAAGTTCCTAAGTACTAAAATAAATTAAATGTTACTTAAACATAAAAAATAATTAGATTGGACATAAGATTTGAAAATGAAAGGACTCATGTTGTCTGTATGGGACTCGAGTGGAAATCCTAATTAGAAAATAACTAAATGTACAAAAAAAAGGTTGAGAAATTCGATAGTAATTAACAACAGTACATTTAATTAACATGGTCCACCACTATTGTGCACTTATTTAATGCAACTTGGGAAAGAGTTATACTTTGGACTATTCTAATTAATAAAGTTTGTTAAAATATACCCATTAGATTTAGTAAAGCGAGTATAATTTAGCAACTCAACGGTAATTGATATATATCTCAAACTAAAAGATTGTGAGCTCGATCTCCACCCTCACCTGTTGTATCAGAAAAAAAATAGTCATATGATTCAAAGATAGATTTTGCATATTAAAATAATTGCATTCACATAGAATAAAGTTTATACAACTTTATTTGAACTAATAATCTATGCTAAGTACGAGATCATGTTAAGAAGATGTCAATTTGAAATATTAGTTGATTAGTCAAAGAGTTGAAACTATATATTTTAGAGTCATTAGAAAATTAAAGTTAAAGAATAAATAATATTCGAAATAATTACTTTTTAAAAGTACAGTGACTAAAATATGACGTTTTGAAAGTATAGAACCTGAACTCAAGTGGACATTTTAAAAGTACAAATACTAAAGGAATCAAAGCCGATAGTATATGAACTAAAATGATATTTAAATCAATATATAATAATGGCATTATTATCCGTAAGAAAACCTTTAGGCTTGTTATCCAGGAACTTAGCTTGTTCAAAAACACTGTAATGAAAGGAAGATAGAAGTTTGTCGCTAGGTATTTGACCAAATATGATTCCACATAGAACTCGTCATTAAAATATCCCTAGAGGGAGATAAGGGCTAAGTGGAGCGAAAAAAGTTTTCAATGACCGGCGGTTACGATTGTTGAACCCCTTAGGTCGGTAGTCGAACCTGAGGTCGGATTCCTCAGGTCGGTGGATGCCTCCTTTCATCTCAACTCGGTATGGGTCAAGTCGACGGGTTTTGATGGTCCATTTCTGTATCTTTAGTACTCCGAATTGAATAGATAATTACACGTGTCGAATCTGATTTTGACCACCAATATCTAGAATGGGGCTAAAAGGATTTTTTACGCCTCCTCTTTTCTTAAGTTACATTTAGAACTTCATTTAGAACTATTTTGACATTTCATATTTTAAGTTACACAATAAAATTAAATTATGGAATCATTTTTTTCACTATAAAGACTCCTTTCCTTGTTGCTCTCTTCCTAGATTTTCTCCATCTTTAACTTCATTTGACTGTTTAATTTAACTTTATACAATAAGTTATATTTAATTCATATTTATCTACTAGAATATAATATCATATTGGTAAAGAAACAACAATCGATGAGTACTCTATCTAGGGTTTATGTCTAAATACTTAATTCTTAATTAAATTTTTTTTAAAATAAGAACATAAGAGAAAGTAAAGTTATTACAGCATTAAAGGTTATCCACTCTAACGAAATCACGATGTCAATAGGGAGATTCTTCGCACGACCAGCTTTGAAAAGTTCCCTGCATCACTGTTTTATTAGTTTCTATTAAACATCTCATATTGAAAAAATAAGAGACCTAATGAATATTTATAATTATATAAATACTATTTCTTTCCTTGTTAATTGGTCTTAAAATGAAATCTGATATTCATATGGTATCAGAGTCCAAAAACTCAAACGACGGTACCGACCTAATGAGATCAAGTTGTTAACTATTACCAAATCCCCACTACAAATTCACCCACATTTTAACCAAAAATATTGACCAATAAAAAATACTAAATATCACACTTCGCTTTCCATAATTATTAGAAAATTGCCACTACCATCAAAATAATGTTTCTTTTAACGATACTTAAAGTGCTAACTCATTTTATTTCTGATAACACCTAAACTGATATTTTATTTTCATTTAATTTGTTACTTTTTAGCTTTATTTTGTTGGATTGTATTTTATTCCAGATGATTCGTTTGGTTTCATTTTTATTGGTTGCAACTAAAAATTTAACCGTTCTTGAAAATGATAACTTTTTATACCTTATTTTTCTAATTCGTCAACCAACAAGAAATATAAGTACCAACAAAAAACGTAGATGATAACCAATAAGTACCTAAGTTTTTTTTTTTTTTCATTTCTTTCTATTTTATAATGTTATAGAATAGAGAGAATTGGACAAATGAATGTAGCCATGAATTGGGAAACATTCATTTCTTCTCCATCCAAAGATGCCCAAATACATTCCTCAAGAACCAATTTCCCCATGATCATATATAAATAAATCCCTCCATTTCTTCATCCTTTACTCTCCAAAATCTTCTCCTCAAAATTTCCTCAAACATTATTCCAAAAGATCCTTCCTTTCCGGTTCCCCCTTCACTTCAATCCCCATCTCTCAAAAGGGTTCGCCGGAAAAGGGGAGAATCCAAAAGGGTCGTTTCGAGATCGGTAAACGATGAAGATTCCGGCTAGATTTCAGCGGGTGGCGGCGGCGTTTCAGGAGGGCCACGAGAGCAGCGGAAGCGAGCACTCGCCGGAGAGTTCCACCGACCTGTCGGACCTCGTGAAGTCGTTTATGGAGAGATCATCGGATTATAATTTCGGAGGTGGAGGAGATGAATATGATGATGGCGCCGGCGGGGGCGTGGAGAAAGAGCAAGACGGCCCCGTATCGGACGGCGGTGGCTGGTCGTTGCCGGAGGCGAAGGAGACTCTGGAGAGGCTGTTTGGATGCCGAGAAAGTGAGAGAGAAAGAGGATCAATTCGCCGGAAAATTCAGGCTCAGGCGGAATTGGCTTGCCGGATCATTGGCGAGAAGCCTTCTTCTCCGGGATTCAAACGTAAATTGATGACCCATTTCCGGGAAAGTGGCTTTGATTCCGGTGAGTTTTCTCAGTTCATTTCCAATTTTAGCTGTAATGAAATTCCATTGGGATTTATGTGAGCTGAAATTGGAACTAATTGAGATCAAATTGAGTCAAATTTGTTGGTTGGTTCAATTTCTTGAAGTATAAACAAAAACTAGTTGCTGTATTTTGTTGGCTTTGGTCATTTTCATATAATATAGGAAAGATTATGTATCATAGTCTTAAATACTTAAAAAGCTTTTGAATCTAGAACTTCACACATATGATCGTACTAAAAAAGCTGGTAACAGGGTGCAAATCCAAATTGTTAACCGTCTCTCTACTTGACTTTCAGGTCTGTGCAAATCCAAGTGGGAAAAGTTCGGGCGATTCCCGGCTGGGGATTACGAGTATGTGGACGTAAAAGTCGATGGAAACCGTTACATTGTCGAAGTTTTCCTTGTCGGAGAGTTCGACATTGCTCGCCCGACGAGCCAATACGTGTCGCTTCTAAAAGCTTTCCCTCAAATATATGTTGGGAAAGTAGAGGAGGTGAAGAAGATAGTGAGAGTGATGTGCATAGCCATGAGAGAGTCAATGAAAAGCAAAGATATGCACATCCCACCATGGAGGAGAAATGGGTATATGCAAGCCAAGTGGTTTGGTTCATACAGGAGAACAACAAACGAAGTGGCCACCAAAAGGCAATTGGACCCTCAAAACCCTAATTTGAAGAAATCAATAGGGTTTGAAGCTAATTTGCCTGTGAAAATTACTTACAATTGCAGAGGGGAATTTGGGAGAAGAATTAACAATGGGTTAAAAGTTGGGCATTTGAGTGCTGCTTTTGATGGGCAAGGCATTGGCTTGTGATCATATATATATATATATATATATATATATAGTATATATATATATATATTATTATATAGTTCCTCTATTTGTGTATATAAAGTTACCAACTAGCAAGCAATTGGTTGTGATTCTTAGAGGTGAAAATGTTTGGTATTTTTTTATGATGTTTTAGGGTTTTGTTCAAAGAGATTGGGAAGGGGGTGGAGGGGGACAAAAATTGAGATGCCATTGATTATTAAGTTGCCAAGGTCAAAGAAGATAAGAACAAAACCATAGTAAAATTTGTTGGACTTTTGATCCATTTCTTGATAAAGTAATGAGAAGTACCTTTTTGTGAACACAACAAGCTCTCTTTCTGATGTTGGTATTATATATAAAAGAATATTCTAGGTATATATTGAAGATGTGTTTTTCCATGCAAATCCTCAACATTCGTTGAAGGGCCGATCCTTTTGTGCCAAGTAATGTTGTGAGACTGGTACTTGACGGCTCACGCTCGCTCTTTTTTGAAGGTCCTTTCTATTCTTAGTATGGTTTTTCCGACCGGAACACAGCTTAATGCTCAGCTTTGCAGAGCAACTCTTTCCTTTTTGTTCCAAGAAAAAAGATACACATTTGTTAAGAGTCAGTAGTAGAGAGTTGAAAGTATTATTTTTATCTGTTGATGTCTGATTTTAAAATTATAAAAGTAGCATGTGAAAGATGCTATGAGAAATGTTTATTTTTTAGTATAATTTTTTGGGGATACGAGGGAACGAACCTCTAACCTCGAGGGAATGAGTATATATCAATACCAATTACCGTTGAGTTATGCTTATGTTGGTCAACAAGAATGTTAATCTCGAATTAAAAGTAATTTTGAATTTTACTTGATTGATTTTGTAGAAGGCGCTCTCGAGCTTTGGTACATACCTACTTGAGAATGCGAAAGATACCTCAATTTAATTTTTGTATACAAGTTATATCTATTGTATTTGTGAAAAGATGACCACTCATGAAATTCAATTATATAATTGTGGTCAACCATGCATTAAGCTCCCTAAATGGTCATTAATAATTTTCTCCAAGAAAAATATCAATGTCCAACATATAGATTTAAAAGAGAATATTGAAGTGATTAGTGCAAATTTCACTATACTAACAAGACTTATTAAACACATAACTAAAAATTTACAAGTAGAATGACTAAATAGACATAACTATAGAAGTTTTGGAATACTTTTTTCATATTACAAATGATAAATAGACATAATTTCGAAACCAAACCTATAATTTAACCTTATTTCATTTGTTTTTAAAGATTTTCATTTTAGGTTAATAAATATTATTGTTGCAGTGCGAAACTGAATCATTAACGACCTTTAGGATAATAATAAATGTCTTATCGAGTGAACTACATCTTGACTTGTTTTCTTATGTGTTGTTGGAGAATGATGATAGAATTTTACTGCTACAATTTCTTTGATAAGGAGAAGTTATAATTCCAACTAATAACTAAAGAGAGTAAAGATAGAAACAAAATGATAACTACAAATTAAATTCAGTGGTGATATAATTGTCAAAACGAGTATAACTTAGCGGTAATTGGCATGTATCTCCAACTAAGAGGTTGTGAGTTCGATCCTCAATCCACATATTATACTAAAAAAATAGTGATATAATTTTGAATAACTTGTAGAGTAAAATGTTTTAAAGTTGGATTATGCCAATTCATTCTTTAACTCAATCACCGTTATCTTGTCAAAAGAGAAAAAGAAAAAAGAAATTTAAGTTGAGATACTACTGCACTTTTTACTTTATTTTATTTTGGTTCTTTGATTTTAATTCTTGTACTTTTAATTTTTTATTATTTTAGTCATTGTATTTTCAAAACATTTGTTTTGGTCATTGTACTTTTAAGAAAGTGGTCAATTTGATCTAAATTTTATAAACAATAGAAACCTTAATTTAAATTTATAGTTGTATGGCTTGAAATTCAGCAATAAAGTATTATATTAAAATCATGATTGAATAAAATTAAAATAAAGGGATTAAAATACACACAAATAGATGTTCGGAAAACATAAACACTAAAATTAACCAAACTTGAAAAAAAAAATACTAAAATAAACTTTTGAGAGTACAGGATAAAGATAATATTTAAACCCAAAAGAAAAAGGAAAAAAAAATTGTCAAACCCGCACACGGCCATTGATCAGCTTGGCCGCTCCGAATGATCCAATTCTATAAGGCCATTCTTCAGAGCTCAGATTCAGACTTAATTCAAGCTGGTAAGCACGGGGATAAAGCAGAAGAAGACTATTAATGGCGGCTTCGAAGCTCCAAGCATTCTTGAACCACCCGGCTGGCCCTAAAACCAGTTAGTTTTCTCGATCTTCCACAATCGATGCTGTAATTTTTGTTCTATAGGGATCAAATTGAAGTATGCCATCTCGTTTTTCTTTTCGTCTTAGATTTTGCTCCTAACGTCTCATTTTATGAGAAGAATCTGGATTGCGATAGATCCATTTCCATTATGATTGATTGGTTAAATTTTACTTCGATTAATGTTATTTGGAATTCTAATGTTGTGGCGTTCATTTTCTTGTGTATTATTTGGCCGGATAGCGGATGGTCATTGATTTTTAGATGGTGTGGATTGCAGAAGAAGCCCAGATAATTTTATAGAACGATTAATGCAAAATCTGAAACGGATGTCTGGCAGTTATTGTTCAGTCAACGTGAAAGTTTATCGTGGATGTATGAATCGGTTTCTTTGGATTCCCGATGTAGTCGTAGAATCTTTGTATTTAGGTACCATAGCCCACGTGTTTCTCGTGAATTATTTCAATTCACTATTTCCTGGGCTGATATACCTTCGAGTATAGATAGGGGTTGTATTTCTGCGCAAATTGAAAGCATAATGATATTCCCAAGGAGAGGAAGAAATTCAAATCAGAAGATATGAGAAACTCATTAGTATTGTGGCCAATTTTCCCCATATCTGGCCTCTTACTTGTTAAAGGTGCCTGTGAGGATGTGTTTCTCTTGGGAATCGTGTTTCTGCTTCATGATGAGGGTACCGTTACTGACTTCTATTGGTTGTAGCTGTGGTAAATGCAAATCCTCTTAATGTCCATCTACAAAATTCTTTCCTTGTAGGGCATCATCATAGGGGCCCTAATGCTCAAGTCACAAAATTATTTTCAAGAAATTTAACTTGAAATTCTCAAATGTAAATGGAACTTGCTCAAAATATTGCTGCACCTGGACCTCTGCCTTCATGTTAATGCTCTCCTAGTTCTAATTTGTCAGTTACTCAATTTTAATGGAACAATATTAAAATGTTTAAAGTGGTTACCTAACCTGATGTTCGGAACATAAATTTTCATTTATAACCTGGATTGAAAGAAAATTTATGCTTTTTATCGCTGTATAATCACCTTTTGGCTTTTGTACTTCTTTTCAGTCAATAACATTATCTCTTGTTCATAAATAAACAAATAAAAACTACAATTCTTGCTTGCCTTGGATAATATCTCATGATATGGTTACTTGTTGGGAGATTTTCCTACTGGGTTTCATAACAGGATGTGGTTCAATACTTACAATGACCCAAAAAAACTGTGACCTACCTGGAGTTTTATTGCATGATCTCTGATAGGAATGTAAGATTTTATAATGCAATTAATTTTTGTGGCCTTGTACTGAGGCTCCCATCTCAAGAATTTTTTTTTTTTGTTTTTACGATTTTTTATGTTAATCTTTGTTGGGAGGCTTTCTTGTAATAGTTGTTCTGAGCAGGGGTTGCTTCCTCTCCCTGCCCCTAGTTTGTATCTTTTTTTTTGTTCCTTGTTAATAATATTATCCTCTTCATAATGCAGTTCACTTCTGGGCACCAACCTTTAAATGGGGTATCAGTATAGCCAATATTGCTGACTTCGCTAAGCCACCAGAAAAACTTTCTTATCCTCAGCAAATAGGTATGTGTTTCTGAGGCATTGGAAATGCAAAGGGAAGTTGAAAAGGTTATTCAAGCCATGTAAAGTCCGCACCTTTTGGTTTTTTTACCTCTATCTTTTCTCACGTTCACTCATATTGCTATTTCAAGGGAAGGTTAATGTACTTTCCTTTCTATTATAGTTTGATTTTGAGTTAGAACAATTCCTTTATTGACTTTTTTCCTCTTATTGTATACATCCAGCTGTTACAGCCACTGGAATTATTTGGTCACGTTACAGCACTGTGATCACACCGGTAAGTTAAAGAAATGATTCAATAAATGACTTAAGGAACCATAAAGTGATGATTATGTAACCATATGAATGGCACATATTGTATACAATATAATTATTGTAAAGACTATATTGGCCTTTCACCTCATGTGGTTCAATCTTCTTTTCTTTTTTGGATAAGAAACCATGATTTTGTTGATGTGAATGAAATTTAAAACTTCCAAGAAATTACAAAGAGCATCCAAATTGGAAGAAATGATGGAGAGGAAAAATTACAAAATTCTCCCAGATAAAGAACCCCCTAGGGAAGCAGCCTGCACAATAGCACTCTCTTGAATAATTCTACTACCCTGCTTAAACTAAATGTTCCTGAAAGTGGCATTAATAGCATTAAGCCATAAGATACTGGGACTGGCTTTGTTTTTTAACAAGGAGTCACATAAGAAAGAGTGCAATCCTTGCTGCACTAAGTAGGGGAGGGACATATTCATGATGAAGCTTTGAAGCATTTTCCACAACACATGGAGAGAGAAAGGACAGCTAGAAAAAAGATGCTTCCTTTCCATAAAGCTTTGAGGGTTTCATTGGGGAGATTACTGGTGCCTCTATCAAGTCCTTGATGAGAGGACTTGCAAGAAAGGGCCTTGATTTATCAAGAATCCTAACTCTTCTATCTTAATTAGTGGTGAGGGAGCAACCATAAACTTTCTCCATCAGTTCCAACTTCCAGCTGATCTTCCACCTAATCCAAGAAATTCCTCCCGAGGTCTCAAAAGTCCAAGAGTTGAATTGACTATTCCAGTTCTCAGTTACTGTCAGTTCCTTTTCCTTGGCAATGGTGAACAAGTTTGGATATTTTTTTAGCTGATGGAAGATCCATCAACCAGGAATCTACCCCAAAAGCTGACAATAGTACCTTGCCGTATCTTAAACTTCATGCGCCTCTTGATCAGAACATTTAGAGCCAGGATATTTGCCCTCAGGGACTTCTCACTCTGTGCTAGAGGTGGTTCTCTCTTCCCAAGGAAACC